TTTTTTATACCCTCAGCCATATGGCTACAGAGGGTATATATCATTTGATACGGCCAAAACGTGCCTAGTCGAAATAACGGTTTTAGACCCTAGGTCTCTTTGGACCAAATCCGTTTCAGAACATTTGGAGTCGATCTAGAGATGTCCGTCCGTCCGTCCGTCCGTCCGTCTGTCTGTCTGTCTGTCTGTCTGTCTGTCTGGCTGGCTGGTGCGCACGATAACTCTCGAAGGGAGTATCCGATTTGGTCCAAACTTGGTACATCGTAATATTTTTGTCAAACTTAGATCGAGTTCGGAGATGGGCAATATCGGTCCACTCCTTCTGGTACCTCCCCCACAAAAGGTCTAAATTTTCAAAAAAAATATTTTTTGCACAGAAAGAGAAAGGATAATCCGAATTTGCTCCAACTTTGCAAATCCTAATATTTGCGTCAGTGCTAGGTCAGGTGTGAAAATGGACAATATCGGTCCACTCCTCCTGGTACCTCCCCCACAAAAGGTCTAAATTTTCAAAAAAAATATTTTTTGCACAGAAAGAGAAAGGATAATCCGAATTTGCTCCAACTTTGCAAATCCTAATATTTGCGTCAGTGCTAGGTCAGGTGTGAAAATGGACAATATCGGTCCACTCCATCAAGTACCTCCCCCACAAATGGTCAAAATTTTGAATAATTACAACTCTCATAAAATGTTATGTAAGAGTCCGATTGTCTTCAAATTTCACACATCCCAATATTTATATTAACCCAAGCTCTGGTGTTAAGATGCACAATATCGGTCCACTCCTTCTGGTACCTTCCCCCACAAAAGGTCGAAATTTTCAAAAAAAAAAAAAAACATATTTTTTGCACAGAAAGAGAAAGGCTAATCCGAATTTGCTCCGACTTTGCAAATCCTAATATTTGCGTCAGTGCTAGGACAGGTGTGGAAATGGACAATATCGGTCCACTCCTCCTGGTACCTCCCCCACAAAAGGTGGAAATGTTCAAAACATATATTTTTTGCACAGAAAGAGAGAGGATAATCCGATTCTGATCCAACTTTGCATATCCTAAAATTTGCATCAGTACTAGGTCAGGTGTGGAAATGGACAATATAGGTCCACTCCATCAAGTACCTCCCCCACAAATCGTCAAAATTTTGAATAATTACAACTCTCATAAAATGTGATGTAAGAGTCCGATTGTCTTCATATTTCACACATCCCAATATTTATATTAACCCAAGGTCTGGTGTTCTGGTACCTCCCCCACAAAAGGTCGAAATTTTCAAAAAAAAAAAAAAAAAATATATATATATATATATATATATATATATATATATATATATATATATATATATTGTACAGAAAGAGAAAGGCTAATCCGAATTTGCTCCGTCTTTGCAAATCCTAATATTTGCGTCAGTGCTAGGACAGGTGTGAAATGGACAGTATCGGTCCACTCCATCAAGTACCTCAAAATTTTTAATAATTACAATCTCATAAAATGTGATGTAAAAGTCCGATTGTCTTCAAATTTCACACATCCTAATATTTGTATTAACCCATGATCTGGTGTGAAGTGGGAATACATCGGTCCACTCCTTCTGGTACCTCCCCCACAAAATATTGAAATTTTGAGTACCCATGAAGCTCATAAATCGCCAAATTAACATCCGATTCCATTTAGACTTGGCACATCTGTCGAAATATTTATATCATATTTTTGGGTCCGATAGGAAATGGACAATATTGGCCCATTCCTTCGGGATCTGTCCCATAGAGGGTCAGACGTTTGACTAACCTTAACACTAGTCAAAATATATTTAGATAATCGAACATAGGCTGAGGGTATATCTCTGGCGGCAATACCGACTGATACTTTTTAACTTGTTTTTTATATATATAGAGATTTCCAATAAAGGTATCTTGGAGTGAGTGAGAGCAGCGAAAGGCAAAGAGAACAAAATTCGTTGCTAAAGTAACAAAAAAATTATGGTTTTGGAATTTAAATTTCTCTTTAAAAAATATACATTATAGCAAAAATTGTATTTTAATTGCTGTTTTTGTTTTTAATTTTTTTTTTACAAAACTTATAAAATCTATTGTATTGAGTTTTATTATTTTTTTATTTCCTTTAAAATATAAAATATGTGTTTAACAAAAAAGAAACTATTATGGATGCCTGAAAAATATACATAATGTGATATTTATAATCGAGAGTAGAGACAGGGTAAATTGGATTCAAGAAAATTTGAATATCTGGGCATGGAGTGGAAAAAATGAAAAGAAATTTGCATTTTCTCCCTACAGGGAGCTCCATGGACGAAAAGGCCCCCCCTCATTGAAAAGGCCTTCCATGCATATCTGGTAGGGATGACGTCAGAAAAACTTGGGCATCGTATTTGTATTAACTTCAATTCAATGCAAATATTTTAGACTTCCAGACGATTTTCCAGTTCAGGAGATCTCTAGAAGGTATTTTATGTATAAAATGTACATCGAGGATTTACATTGAATAGATCACGAAGAAGACCTTGAAAAAGTTTCTTCTTTGATTTACAAAAGGTTATTTAAAAATCGATTTATATGACAGGGGGTTACGTGTTACAATTTTCACGTGTTACAATTTTCATCTTTTTGTGTTTCATTTCAATTTGTTTTCAAATTTTTAAAAATTAATTTAATTATATTATTTACTTAATAATAATAATAATAATAATAATAATAATAATAATAATAATAATAATAATAATAATAATAATAATAATAATAATAATAATAATAATAATAATATTAATAATAATAATAATACGGGATGAGATGAAAAAACGGCAATCAACTTCAGACTGCTATCACTTCTAAGCCACTCGTCCAACAGAAGTTAAAATTATTCCAGTGACAGCTCATTATATTGTTTACAAGCGTACAAAAGTATTATGGTAAGAATTTTCCAGAAAAAAAAGTTGTTTGTGATGGAATTCAAACGTGATAGTGTAATTTCTTTATATTTGGCTGGAAAACCACAAGTGGCTATCGTTAGAGCTACTCCAGCATTTAAATGTGGATAAATCTTTTGGGTCTCGTACCATCGCTCGTTTTTGTGATGCTGAAGCGTAGCCTGACGTCAGGGAAGTGGATGGAAGAAAACAGAAACATCAGCAGAAAACAGCAAATGATACGAAAAGTAAAGAAGCGACTTGATCGAAACCCGCGTCGAAGTGGCCGAAAAATGGCTCGTGAGCTGAACATATCGCAATATTCCATTCGGCAAATATTTAAATAATGAGCTCAGGATAAAGACATTGAAATTCCAAAAAGTGCAAGAACTTACACCGCAACAGAAAGAAAATAGACTCAAAAAAGCTAAAGAGTTGCTTATCTTGGTCGAACTGCAAATTTGGCTTTCTCCGTCTCCGAAGTGCTAAAGAGTTGCTTCGCTTGGACGAAAGTGGTGAACTGCCGAATTTGATTTTCTCCGTCTCCGATGAGAAAACATTCGTTGTCCAGCAGTTTGCAAATAAACGAAATGATCGTGTTTACTTGCCAAAGAGATCATCTGAAAATGTGCAACATCGTTTGGCCACCAGAACTCAAGCGCCGGCCATGGTGATGGTGTGGGTTTGGGCCGCCATAACAGCCGATGGTCGCTCTCTGCTCATATTAATCGACCGTGACATCAGAATAAATGCCGAATATTATCGTGAAAATATTCTGGAGGGTGTATTAAAGCCTTAGGCACGCAAATATTTTGGCCGCAGACCTTGGACATTCCAAAGGACTCAGCACGAGCCACCAAGAATGGTTACAAAATGAGGTTCCTCGCATCATCTCCAGCGCACAATGGCCATCAAAATCTCCGGATACCAATCCGTTGGACTATTGTGTCTGAAGTATATTGGAAAGTAAGGTTGGCACTAAAAAATACCAAAATGTCGATCACCTCAAACAGTCGCTTCACCGGAAATGGGCCAAAATAGCGCAGAGCAACAACATAAATCTTGCCAAAGGTGACCAATTCGAACAAATCTAAACTAATTCTAAAAGTTGATGCTATTTCCGACAGTTTTTGTTTCATTCAACAAAATTTAAAAAAAAAATAAAAATTATGGCGTTTGACTTTGTTGCTGTTTTTTTATCTCACCCTGTATAATTATTATAAGCTATAATAATAATAATAATAATAATAATAATAATAATAATAATAATAATAATAACAATTCTTATTATTATTGTTATTTTTATTATTATTATTATTATTATTATTATTATTATTATTATTATTATTATTATTATTATTATTATTATTATTATTATTATTATTATTATTATTATTATTATTATTATTATTATTATTATTATTATTATTATTATTATTATTATTATTATTATTATTATTATTATTATTATTATTATTTATATTTTTATAATTATAATTATTATTGTTATTATTATTATTGTTATTATTATTATTATTATTATTATTATTATTATTATTATTATTATTATTATTATTATTATTATTATTATCATTATTATCATTATTATTATTAATAATATTATCATTATTATTATATTATTATTATTTATATTTTTATAATTATAATTATTATTATTGTTATTATTATTATTATTATTATTGTTATTATAATTATTATTTTTATTATAATTATCATTATTATTACATCATTATTATTATTATTTATATTTTTATAAATATTATTGTTTTTGTTATTATTGTTTTCTTTTTTCACATTCTCTATTCTCTATTTTCCTTTTGTCTATACTTAAACCTAGTTATTATTATCATTACAATTTTTTCTCTTTTTTCTATTATTAATATTATTTTTAAATATATATGTATATGTGTGTATGTTTCTGCATTCATAATCTTAAGTTTTTTTTTGGTATAATGTATTTTTCTTTTTTATGTTTCTTTTTTCTATTTTATTTCTTTTTCTTTTATTTTTTTAATAATTACTATTATTTTTCTTCTCTCTCGTTTTTTTTTATCAACATATTATTTTGTAAAAGGTACATTTACTCTTTTTTCAGTGTCTTCTTTTTAAATATAATAATTTCGCATGTATGTGTGTGTGTTATGCATAAATGTATGTGAGAATGTATGGGTGTGTGTGTCTTTGAATAGTTATTTTTGTTTTCTTTCTTCTAAAATATATATAATATTAATTTTATTGTTTTCTTCTTTAAATTTCTTATAATTATTAATTGTCAACAGATGTCGCTCTCAGCTGGGCATAACATGTCTGACACACTCGCACCGGTTTCAATATTCTCAATCTCGATATTTCCGATTCGAAACGACTGCATTTGTTACAGAACACCTGGCCACAGTTGCGACAGTGATGTTTGCGTTCGTATAGGGTGAATCTGTAAAGGGGAAAGTGAAACAGAAATTAATTAATGGGATCATGGAAGGAAGTCCGTTTCATTTCATATTTGAATGTTGCTTAAAGACTCTTTAGTAACACTGTACAAGAAGAAAATAATTAAATAAATAAAAAATCCAAAATATTTCCTAATTTCTTCTATCAATTTTTCTGAAAAAATGTCAAAGAAATATTTTACACAAACTTGTCCTCTTTATTTAGGTTATTTTGCTATCTAATCTTTCATAACGACGATACACGAGTCTTCAATTGTTGGATCTACTTTTATTATCTACTGGGTTTTAAAAACTCAATTAAAAATATCTTAATGGAATTCCTCTACAACAAGTTCCTCCTTCAACTGACCTATAAATACTTCCTTGAGCTTGTCTATAGAGACCCGCTTCATCTTGTGAAAATATACCCACTTAGTCTAAAAAGACTCACTTTCGCTCTTCTATAAATACTCCCTTTAATTCCCCGATACTCCATCTAAAAAGACTCCCTGCAGTCCGTCTACAAACACTCGTTTTAACTCGCCTATAAAAACTTCCTCCAGTCCATCTATAAAAACTCCCTTCTATCTGTCTAAAAAAGCACCTTCCAGTCGGTCTATAAAGACTCCCTCTAATTTGTCAATTAAGACTACCTCCAGTCCATCCAAAAAGACTCCCTTAAGTCCGTCTAAAAAAACTCCCTTTAACTCACCGAAAAAGATTCCCTCCAGTCCGTCTATAAAGACTACCTTCTGTCCATCTATAAAGAATCCCTCCAGTCCGTCCATTAAGACTCCTTCTAGTCCATCTATAAATACTTCCTTCAGTCTGTCTATAAAGATTCCTTCAAGTCCGCCTATAAAGACTTCCTCCAGTACGTCTATAAAGACTCCTTCTAGTCCATCTACTCCGTCTATAAAGACTTCCTCTGGACCGTCTGTAAATACTCCTTCCAGTCCGACTGTAAAGACTCCCTTCTGTCTGCCTATAAAGACTTTCGCCAATCCGTCTATAAAGACCCCCTCCACTCTGTCTATAAAGACTCACTCCAGTCCGTCTATAAAGACTACCACCAGCCCGTCTACAAAGTCTCCTCCAGTCTATCTTAAAAGACTCTCTCCAGTCCATCTATAAACTCTCCCTTTAACTCACAGATTAAAACTCCCTCAAGTCCGTCTATAAAAGGGCCTTCCAGTCCGTCTATAAAAACTCCCTCAAGTCCGTTAATCAAGACTCCCCTCAGTCCGTCTATAAAGATTCCCTCCAGTCCTTCTGTAAAGACTCCCTTTTACTCCCCGAAAAACTACCTCAAGTCCGTCTAAAAATACTGCCTACAGTCCGTCTATAAAGACCCCCTCCAGACTGTCTATAAAAACTACCTACAGTCCATCTAAAAAGTATCCCTCCGGTCATCTACAAAGTCTCCCTCCGGTCATCTATAAAGTCTCCCTCCAGTCCATCTATAAACATTTCCTTTAACTCACCCATAAAGAATTCCTACAGTCCGTCTACCAAGATTCCTCCCGACCGCCATAAAAACTTTCTGCAGTGCGTCTATTAAGACTCCCTCCAGTTCATCTACAGAGATTCCTTCCACTTCGTCTATAAAGAATCCCTCAAGTCCATCTTAGAATATCTCTCCTATCCGTCTTTAAAGACTACTTCCAGTCCATCTAAAAACACTTCCTCCAGACTTGCTATGAAGACCCCCTTTAACTCGTCGATAAGGTTTTCATTCAGTCCATCTAAAAAGACTCCCATCAACTCTTGATAAGGACATCATCCAGTCCGTCTAAAAAGACTCCCTTAAGCCTATCTAAAAAGACCCTCTCCAGTCCGTCAATAAAGACTCCCCCATACCGCCATAAAAACTCCGTATATTAAGACTCCCTCCAGTTCATCTATAAAGACTCCTTCCGCTTCGTCTATAAAGAATCTCTCAAGTCCATTTAAAAAATCTCTCCAGTCTATCGATAAAAACTCCCTCGCGTTTATCTAAAAAGACTCCCTTCAGTCTATCTTAAAAAATTCCCTCTAGCCCGTCTATAAATACTCGATACAGCCCGTCTAAAAAACTCGGTCCAGTCCATCTATAAAGACACCCTCCAGCTCATCTAAAAATACTTCCGTCGTCTCTAAAGACTTCATTCATCTCTCCGATATAGACTCCCTCCAATTCGACTTTACCGATTCCCTTCAGCTGGTTTATAATTACTCCCTCCAACTCGCACATAAAATCTCTTTTTAAGTGTTTATTACGACTGCCTTCAGCTCCTCCATAAAGACTCCACTCAGCATCCTAAAGATTTTCCTATAGCTCTTCCAAAAAATGTGCCTTCAAATGCTTCGTGACTGTTTTGTTTGTTCCGTCGTCTATAAAATCATACTTCCGCCTCTTTTAGTGCTAAATTTTATGAAATACTCACTTAACATGACATTTAACACACTGATCGGCTCCCTCATCCTTTAGCCAATGATCGGCCACACCACGGCCGGGTTGCTCCGTAACACACCATGAATAGATGCGACCACGGGCATCACCTGGAAATATTTCAAAATGTATTAAAAATTGGAAATCCACAAAATAATTTATGAAAACTACTTACCAACATATAATATTTTATGATCCTTGGATACTGTCAGGGCAGTAATACTGGCCGGTTCGGCATTATCTTTGCGATCATAGGCCGTGTGCATTGTTAGTTTTGAACGGAACATTAATTGACGTTGCCATTTAAAGCCTAAAGGAGTAAAGAACAAATATAAAAAATTAAAATTTTGGAATCTTTGATTAACAAAATCTCCAAAATACCCCTACCTTTCTTGAGACAATGATCACCACGATGTTTATCATTGTCGATCATGACAAATCCGTCTGTGAGGCTGGTATCGGATTTACTGGGCCTTATTGTGCTGCGTTCTTCTTCTGGATGCAAAGAACAAACAATAATTTAATATTTTTAAAATATCAAATATTTATCAAAAAGCTACCTTCAATTCCCTTATTACCCCCCGAACCCTCCACCGTTGATGACTTAATTTCGTGCAGAGATTTCGCACCCGAAAATGAAGATTTCCGTCGTTCCGATGTTACGGGTATTTCACATTCCTTCATTGGCTTATCCGATTGTGTTGAGTTGTTTGAGTGTTGTGATGCCTCTGATATGCTGCTTTCCGAAGCAGATTTATGGATTTCTGTAAAGGGCAATTCTATGATTTTAATAAGGTTATAACGTTAGTAGAGAAATTTGTCTTACCATTATCATCATGTGAAGATATGCTTTGCATTTGTTTAAATAGTTCCATTTTCTTTGAGGTTTCTCCACCCGCCACAGCCGTCTCGTCTTCTTTGTGCGATGCAGTGTCGGGATTTTCTTGGGATTTCACTTCGGCATACCGTTTTAGTTTACGTTCAATTGGTACTTGAACATATTCGAGGGACCACATCTAAAAAAAAAAAATAGAAAAAAATTCGGCATTAGAATAAGATTGGAAAATGTAAAAAATGCCCTTGGGTATATCAATCGGCTCTAAAGGGTATAAGAACTATTTGAATTTTTTTTCTTTTTTAGAATTTTATAAAGACTTCAGTTCTCCAACCTTTTAAAAATATATAAGGCCTAGGGACGTCCCTGTGACCTTAAATATTAATCTCTGACGATATTCGAAAATTTTTTTTAAATGTCCATAAAGAATCCTTTACTTTTTATTATCCTGGCAATATACATGCAAAGTCCTGCTAACTAATTGTCAAAAATGAATTCTAAGGTTCAGTTAATTTCCTGTCGTCTATAAACAAACCTTACCAGTCATCCATAAAATATAAAGTCTATACAGTCTCTTTTCCAGTCTTTTTTTCTATACAGACTCCTTACAGACTCTTTTCCAGTCGTCTATAGAGATTCCTTTCTAGTCGTCTATAGAGATTCCTTTCTAGTCGTCTATAGAGACTCCTTACCAGTCGTCTATAGACTCCTTACCAGTCGTCTATAGAGACTCCTTACCAGTCGTCTATAGAGACTCCTTACCAGTCGTCTATAGAGACTCCTTACCAGTCGTCTATAGAGACTCCTTTCCAGTCGTCTATAGAGACTCCTTTCTAGTCGTCTAACAGACTCCTTTCCAGTCGTCTATACAGACTCCTTTCCAGTCGTATATGCAGACTCCTCTACACTCGTCTATAAAGACTTCTTCCAGTCGTCTATACAGACTCCTTTCCAGCCGTCTACACAGACTCCTTACCAGCCGTCTTCACAGACTCCTTTCCAGTCGTTTATACAGACTCCTTTCCCGTCGTCTATACAGACTCCTTGCAGGCTTTTTACCAGGCCTTTCCAGTTGTTATATCAGACTCCTTCCCAGTCGTCTCTACAGTCTCTTTTCCAGTCGTCTAACCAGATTTTTTACCAGTCTATACAGACTCCTTCCCAGTCGTCTCTACAGCCTCTTTTCCAGTTGTCGTCTAACCAGATTTTTTACCAGTCTATACAGACTTGCCTTGCCACTCTCCCATAAAGAGTCCTTACCATCTGCACATAATGACTCCTTATCATTGGACCTCATAAGTCGTCTATAAAAAGTCTATAGTAGTCATTTATAAGGACTCTCTGCCAATTGCCTATATAGACTCCTTATTATTTGGGATATAAGACTTCTTACGAATCACCTATAAAATTACCTGCCAATAGCCCTTAAGGTTTCCTTTCTAGTATCTCAAAAATATTCCCTATAAGTCGTCTATAAAAAATTCTGAAAGTAAGGTTACCAGTCCTTTGAGGATTCTTTTGAGTACCCAAAAGGATTTCCTATAAAGACCATTTTCCGATCACAAAATAATGATAAAATAATGATTCCTGGTTAATCCCATTAAGAACAGCTTATCAATCATAAAAAGCTCCTTTTGAGTAGCCAAAAATGGTATTCCCGTTGTCTATGAGATCTTTTAAAAAGTCGTATTAAATAGCCAATTTAGTCCAAGTTATCTGATCTCCCATGAAGACCATATTTCAATCATCTATAAGGACTCTATTTCATTTGTTGAAGACACCTTATCAGTCCTTAAGGGCTCCTTTTGAGTAGCTCAAAAATGATGATCTATAAGTTGTCTGTTCAATCACAAAAGTAATGTTTCTTCCATCGTCTATGGGATCTCTTTAAGACGTTTCGAAAAATTCTCATTAAGTGGTCGATTTAGCCTGCCTTCTGTAATTCTAATCTCTCAAGAGGACCTCATTTCAAATCTCTCAAATAATCTTCTTTTTCGTTCGTTTAAGTCGCCTTCATGGGCTTTCTTTCAATCGTCGTTGATAGATCTCTGCTTAATCCCCTAAAGACAGCTTTTCAGCCTATAAGGGTTCCTTTTGAGTAGCTTACTTTCTCATAAGTCGTCTGTAAAGACCCCTTTCGAAACACAAAATAATGTTTATTCTCTCATCTATGGGATCTCTTTAAGACTACTCTAAAAAGCTCAAAGAAGTAGCCGATTTAGTATGAATTATTTGATTTTAGACTGCCGTGAAGACGATCTGTTAATTGACTTTAAAGACTCCTTTCCCTTAAGGACTCCATTCCTATTTGAGTCGCTGTTATAGGCTTCCTTAAAATCGTCGTCTATAAAGATTTCTGATTAATCCTCCCAATAGCACCCTACCAGACCTCTTGAACCCCAAAAAGGATTTCCTGTAAGTCGCCTCTAAAGACTCCTTTTCAATCTTTCATCGTCTATGGCATCCCTTTAAGACGCCTTTAAAAACCCGTCGCATAAAGATTCCTTATTGACCCTCTAAAGACAGGTCACCAGCCCTTAAGGTCTCCTTTCGTGAAGCCCAAAACGGATTTCTCGTAGGTCGTTTGTGGAGAAACCTTTCCAATCACAAAATAATGTTTCTTTTCTCATATAAGGGATACCCTTAACATTCTTCTGAAAACTTGCCGATTTTATCTCAATTATCTGATTTTTTACTCCCATAAAGACCATCTGTTAATTGCCTTTAAGGACTCCTTTCCCTTCTTTTTAGGCGTTGCTATAGGCTTCCTTTTAATCGTCGTATATAAATATTTCTGATTAATTCTCCTAATGACACCCTACCAGACTGCTTGAACCCCAAAAAGATTTTCAATAAGTCGCCTCTAAAGACCTCTTTTTCCATCAGAAAATAATATTTCTTTGATCGTCCGTGGGATACCTTTAAAACAATTCTAAAAAGCCCCATTAGGAACCGAATCATCGTATTTCAATCTCCTATGAAGACTATCTTTCAACCACCTATAAGGACTTATTTTTCATTTGTTTATATTGCCTTTAAAAACTTCCTTTAAATCTATACTGGACTCCATTCCTGTAGCCCCAAAATAATGTCCTATAAATCCCCAGTAAAGACTGATTTCCAACTACAAAAAAATGTTTTTCCGTCGTCTATGGGATACCTTTAAGACTTCTCTACAACGTCCCATTAAGTAGACGATTTATTCCGAACTATTTGTTTTCAATCTCCCATATATTTAATTTTTCAGTCACGTACAAGGACTCCTTTTCATCCGTTGAAGTTGTCTTTATAGACATATTTTGAATCGTCGTATAAAGATTCCTGATTAATCCCCTAAAGACACATCACCAGCCCTTAAGGTTTCCCTTCGAGAAACCCAAAACGAATTTCTTAGAAGTAGAGACCCCTTTTCAATCACAAAATAATGTTTATTCTCTCATCTATGGGATCCCTTTAAGACTCCTCTAAAAAGTCACAATAAGTAACAGACTTTATCTCAATTATCTGATTTTAAACTCCCATGAAGACCATCTGTTAATTGCCGTTAAGGACTCCTTTCCCATCTTTATAGGCGTTGCTATAGGCTTCCTTTTAATCGTCGTATATAAATATTTCTGATTAATTCTCCTAATGACTCCCTACCAGACCTCTTGAATCTCAAAAAGGATTTCCTATAAGTTGCCTCAAAAGACTCCTTTCCAATCAGAAAATAATATTTCTTCGATCGTCTATGGCATCCCTTTAAGAGGCCTGTAAAAGGACGCATTAGGAACCCGATTTAGTACGAAATATCGGATTTCAATGTCCAAAGAAGACCATATTTCAGTCACCTCTAAGGACTTATTTTTCATTTGTTTATATCGCCTTTATAAACTTCCTTTATTTCGTCGTCTATCAAGATTTCTGATTAGACCTCTTAAGCCACCTCACCAGACCTCTTGGACTCCATTCTAGTAGCCCAAAAATGATTTTCAATAAGTCGCCTCTAAAGACCTCTTTTTCCATCAGAAAATAATATTTCTTTAATCGTCCGTGGGATACCTTTAAAACAATTCTAAAAAGTCCCATTAGGAACCGAATCATCGTATTTCAATCTCCTATGAAGACCATCTTTCAACCACCTATAAGGACTTATTTTTCATTTGTTTATATTGCCTTTATAAACTTCCTTTAAATCTATACTGGACTCCATTCATGTAGCCCCAAAATAATGTCCTATAAATCCCCAGTAAAGACTGATTTCCAACTACAAAAAAATGTTTTTTCCGTCGTCTATGGGATACCTTTAAGACTTCTCTACAACGTCCCATTAAGTAGACGATTTATTCTGAACTATTTGTTTTCAATCTCCCATATATTTAATTTTTCAGTCACGTACAATGACTCCTTTTCATCCGTTGAAGTTGTCTTTAGAGACATACTTTGAATCGTCGTATAAAGATTCCTGATTAATCCCCTAAAAACAGGTCATCAGCCCTTAAGGTTTCCTTTCGAGAAGCCCAAAACGGATTACTCATATGTCGTCTGTAGAGACCCCTTTTCAATCACAAAATAATCTTTATTCTCTCATCTATGGGATCCCTTAAGACTCCTCTAAAAAGTCACAATAAGTAACAGACTTTATCTCAATTATCTGATTTTAAACTCCCATGAAGACCATCTGTTAATTGCCGTTAAGGACTCCTTTCCCTTCTCTTTAGTCGTTGATATAGACTTCCTTTTAATCGTTGTCTATAAATATTTCTGATTAATCCTCCTAATGACTCCCTACCCTCTTGACCTCTTGAACCTCAAAAAGGATTTTCTGTAAGTCGCCTCTAAAGATCTCTTTTCCAGTCAGAAAATAATATTTCTTCCATCGTCTATGGAATCCCTTTAAGATGCCTTTAAAAAAACGCATTACGAACCCGATTTAATCCGAATTATTATATTACCTCGAAGACCATATTTCAGTCACCTCTAAGGACTTATTTTTCATTTGTTTATATCGCCTTTATAAACTTCCTTTATTTCGTCTATCAAGATTTCTGATTAATACTCCTTAAGGCACCAAAAAGGATTTTCTATAAATCGCCTCAAAGGACACCTTTCCAATCAGAAAATAATATTTCTTCAATCCTCCATGGCATCCCTTTAACCCGCCTCTAAAAGCCGCATTAGGAAGCCGATTTAATCCGAATTATTGGATTTCAATCTTCCATGAAGACCATATTTCAGTCACCTCTAAGGACTTCTTTTTCATTTGGTACTGCCATCTTTGTAAACTTCCTTTGAATAGTCGTCTATAAAGATTCCTGATTGATACTCCTAAAGACACTTATCACTCCTACAGGCTCCTTTCGAGTAACCTAAAAAGGATCCCCCATAAGACCCCGTAAAGGCCCCTTTTCCAGTTACAAAAAAATATTTTTCCCATCGTCTATGGTATTCCTCTTAGACGCTTTTAAAAAGTCCCATTAAGTATCCGCTTTAGTCTGAATTATCTGATTTTAATCGTCCAAGCAGAACACTTTTCAATCACCAAAAAGGAATAGTTTTCATTCAAAGACGACTTACAAGACGTCGTTTGAATCGTCATTTTTCGATTAATAATCCTTGTGTGTCCTCGGTGGCTCCATTCCAGTATCCCAAAAAGGATTTCCTTTAAATCGCCTGTAAAGACCCCTTTCCAAATCAAAAATGTGGTTCTTCTTAGTCAATGGGATGCCTTTAAGATGTCCCTAAATTAGGTATCCGATTTAGTCTGAATTATCTGATTTGAATCTCCCAAGAAGACCAACTTCTAAATCATCTATAAACACTTATTTTTCATTCCTTTAAACCGCCTTTGTGTTGCTTCGTTCGAGTCGTCGACAAAGATTAATTTTCAGTTTCCCAACTAGTCTCCCTTTCCCAACTCACCCTCACAACGCCATCCGTGGAGCCAGTTATGACCACATTCTGTGGATCCCATTCTCGGATTTGTGAAAAGGCCACACACAATATTTGCTGCATACGATCGGCACTGCCCACGCATGTATTCACCGTTGCCAAAGGATCACCATTGATGGACCACACATGTAACCACGTTGCCGAACATGTGGCAATATCACCAGTCAATTCATTTATGGCCACTGCTGCCACAACACCCACATGGCCGGGCAATTGGCGTACAAATGTGAAACGTGTCATATCCCAAACAATTGCCGTACCATCTCTTGAACCCGACACAATGACATTATATGCTGCACTGGCTGCCAAACATGTAACGGCATCCGTATGGCCATGTAGCGAATGTTTCACCGTTAAACTTTTACGATTTGCATCGAATTTCCAAATCGTAATGACCGAACTTGTGCCGGCGGTAATGATCATTTTTGAATTGGGACAGGCACAGGCCAAAATTTCACCGGAATTTTGTGCCGCCGCCTCGGAAACAAATGAAGCACGATCTGTGTCATAGAGGCCAATGCGCAGCGAGTGATCGGCAAAGCCCCAGGCAATGTATTTGGTATATGATGGGGGCATCATCACCTAGGAAGGGGGAAAAGAGAGTAATTTATTAAAATCTCGAATTTATCGAATTTTGTATTTCCTTACCTTATTTTGTTCCACAGCAAAAACAGTCTTATCTGGTTGCAATATCTGACCCACGGGACCTTTTAGCTCCTTGATGGGTTGCAGGCTCGGTTTCAAATTATCCAAATTATGGAAGAACAAACGATCGGATTGTAGCACAGTTGTATTGCCCTGTATCAAGGCGCTCGGATCTATTAGCGTCGAATGCCGCGAGCCAGACATTTTCTTGGCGGGATGGGGTTTCTTAAACAGCTGCTTGGGTATTTGTCCAAAGTTGTTAATGAAACCAATTGTGGCGTTTTTCTTCAGAGGGTCATCAATGCTAGATTCGGGAGAATAGAGAATAGGATTAATTGAGAGACATTTAGGGTCATTTTTAGGGCAACTTACTTGTAAATATCGACATTTCCTTCATAGAACAAATGATGGAAAACATTTGTGGCTTCCACAGCGGCGGGGCCTTGTTGCTTGTGGCCAAATATCAAATCGATCCACTGAAAGGAAAATAATTCGATTAATACATAAATGACAGCATTTCTCTGATGGTCTGATGTTTCAAATTGACTCTATATCAGGTCTCCAAAAATCTAATTTTATTGTTCTACAAGTCCTTTATAAGGATCCCTAGAAACCACCTTCCTCCGGGTTCAAAAATACCGTATTTCAGTTATCTTTGAAGTTCTCATTTACTGTCGTCCAGAAAAATATATTTTATGTCGTCTACCATTAGAAAATTAAAGGCAACATAGACTCATTTAAATCAGTTCAAATTTTCAGGCCTCCAAGTCCCCGATTTCAGAAGTCTGCAAAATACTTTTTCTACAAACTTTTCCCGGAAACTTCTTTTCGGAACTAGTAGATTCCTGTGGTTGTTTGTCAATAGAAGTTTGCATATACTCTTTAAAATCTCCTTACCAAATGTAAATTCTGGCTAACATAATCACATTCCAAGGCATTGCGATGTAATCTTATGAATTCTCTTGGATCCTGTTTGGCCCAGGGCGGCAGGATGACATCGTTCAAGGTTTCGCCATTTTGTTTGGTACCTTAAAGGGGACAATAGAATATTATTTTCAATTGATTCCTTTCATTACTCTGCCATTTACTTACCCAAATCAAAGTTATTCGAATTGGTTATGAATTCTGGGAGGTAGAAAAACTCGGGTATTAGCTCTTTCACATCGGCCATATTGAATTTGGAGGCCGAGAGCCAGGCCTCTTTAAGGCTGTGGAACATGCGATCGGCCAAATCAAAGTGGCCACCTTGCAGGCGCAAAAAGTGCTGGGTAAACGGTTCCAAGCGCACCAGATATGAGCAAACAATCATGGCCGATGAGTAGTGGGTGCCATAGTGATAGGGTGGTGTTTCACCATGGGGATCATCCCATTCCTGGAAATAAAAAAAAATTGGATTTTTTTAAATATTTTGATTGTTGAAGAGGTTTGAGTTGATTTTACCTTAAATCTTTTCTGAAACTGTTCCAGTCTCTCCTCCGACTGGGCACCCATGGGCTTGGAAAAATCTCGGAATGTTTTGGGATTATTGAAATCCAACTCTTCGGAATCATAATCGGCCAATATCCAGGGGAAAACGGGATACTGCATGAGATCATTGTAGGAGCGCCCAGCGAGGGTATTTAAATGCATTAGATATTGGAAGTTGGAAATTTCACCGCGCTGCAAAAGAGAACGTGATTAATTTATCAGGAAAAAAGGAAAAAAAAATATAAGTTCGGCCGGGCCGAACTTTGAATAGCCTCCACAATTCGGAATTAATTTGGAAATTTTCAAAAAAAAAAAATAAGTAAATAAAATTAGTTAACAATTCTGTTAAAATCCTAAAAATACCGCAGGGGCCATTCGAAGACGTGGACCTGCACAAACAATTTTCTCTAATAGCCTGTAGTGTCCATTACGAGCTTCAAATACCAAATTTGAAACAATTCCGGTGAATAATGTCGCTAAAATCATTAAAATACCGAATATCGGAAGGTACCGTTATATGGGGCCTATACGAAGACGTGGGTTTGCACAGACAATTTTCTGTCATAGGCTGTAATATCCATTACGAACTTCAAATTCCCAATTTGAAACAATTCCAGTGAATAATGTCGCTAAAATCATCAAAATACCGAATCTCGGGAGGTGCCGTTATATGGGGGCAATACGAAGACGTGGACCTGCACAGACAATTTTCTGTCATAGGTTGTAGTATCCGTTACGAACTTCAAATACCGAATTTGAAATGATTCCGTTGAATAATGTCACAAAAATCATCAAAATACCGAATATAGGGAGGTACCATTATAAGGGGGCTATACGAAGGCGTGGACCTGCACAGACAATTTTCTGCCATAGGCTGTAGTATCTATTACGAACTTCAAATACCAAATTTAAAACAATTCCGGTAAATAATGTCGCTAAAATCATGAAATTACCGAATATCGGGAAGTACCGTTATATGGGGGATATAAGAAGACGTGGACCTGCAGAGACAATTTTCTGTCATAGGCTGTAGTACCCATTGCGAACTTCAAATACCAAATTTGAAACAATTCCGGCAAAAAATGTAGCTAAAATCATCAAAATACTGAATATCGGAAGGTACCGTTATATGGGGGCTATACAACGGCGTGGACCTGCACAAACAATTTTCTGCCTTAGGCTGAAACATCCATTACGAACTTCAAATACCAAATTTGAAACAATTCCGGTGAATAATGTCGCTAGAATCATTAAAATACCTAATATCGGAAGGTATTGTTATATGGGGGCTATACGAAGACGTGGACCTGCACAGACAATTTTCTGTTATAGGCTGTAGTATTTATTAGGAACTTCAAATATCAAATATGAAACAATTCCGGTGAATAATGTCGCTAAAACAATCAATATACCGAATATCGGAAGGTACCGCTATATGGGGGCTATACGAAGGCTTGGATCTGCAAAGACAATTTTCTGTCACAGGCTGTGGTATCCATTACGAACTTCAAATACCAAATTTGATACAATTCCGTTGAATAATGTCGCTAAAATCATCAAAATACCGAATATCGGGAGGTATCGTTATATGGGGGCTATGCGAAGACGTGGACCTATACAGATAATTTTCTGTCTCAGGCTGTAGTATCCATTACGAACTTCAAATGCCAAATTTGAAACAATTCCGATGAATAGAGTCGCTTAAATCATCAAAATACCGAATATGGGGAGTTATCGTTATATGGGGGCTATACGAAGACGTGGACCTGCACTGACAATTTTCTGTCATAAGCTCTAGTATCCATTACGAACTTTAAATACCAAATTTGAAACAATTCCGGTAAGTAATGTCGCTAAAATCATCAAAATACCGAATATCGGGAGGTGCCGTTACATGGGGGCTATACCAAAACGTGGACCTACATGGCCCATTTGCAATACCAAAAGTCCTGCAGACATAATATAGATTTGAGTAAAATTTTAACAACCTAATTCATTTCGTTCGGAAGCTAGAGTGATTTCCACAGACGGACGGACATCGCTAAATCGACAGAGAATTTTATGCGGATCAAGAATATATATACTTTGTGGGGTCTAAATGTATATTTAAGAATGACAAACTTAATATACCCAAATACTATGAAGGAGGGTATAAAAAAAGAAGAAGATCCAAATACTTACCACCCATCTCTGGGTCACCGAGGTTTCACCAATCAAACTACTGAAGATACCCGATGTCTGTTCTACACTTGCCGTCCTCTTTTGGCCCGCCACCGACTGCTGAGCATTGTCATTGATGGCCGTGGCATGGGCCATGAAACGCTGATAAACCTTATTTCGAACCTTGCGCGGAAAACTTAACAAATAATTTCGTCCATCTTCGGAGAACACCTCCAGTGCAATGGGTTGTAACAAATAACGTCGCTTGTGTACCTCTCGTATCTCCTCGTAAGCAAACTTAGAACACTGGCGAACTTTGTGCTGCCTTGTTGTACCCCCCGAGTTGGGTATAATGGGTTCATAGGCCCCCGGTGGCAGGGTGTCGATATCTTTTATTTCACGATTTTTGAGCAATGTAAAACCATCAACGATGTAACAATGTTCCTTGCCGAACAACAGTAGACCCTCAAAGGTATCCAGACCTTGGATGCGTGCACATCTAAACATAAAAGAGATTTTTTCCTGCTCTTCCAGCAGCCGTAAAAATGTTTCATTATCGGCAATATTTGACATTTCATCGTCCTCCTCATCATCGTCGGGTGCATTGACATCTAACGACTCCTGGGCATGGGCATGGGCAATGCGATGTTCATTGGGTGACTGGGGTGGTGTGGACGTTGTACCACCCGGCTCACTTTTGGATGTCTGCAATTGGGGATGACTATGGGTGGTTTGTCCCGAAGCTTTCAGCAATTGATTGGCATCTACGGAATGTTGATGTGTTAGCGATTGTTGTTGTGTGAGCGAATCGGTTTCACACAATATCCTTGGTGGCTGCTGACAATGGGTGTAGTAGATTTTACTATCAAAACTGGTGGCAACTTTATATTTTAATTGACGATTATCGGGTATATCCAATTCTGGGCGATATGGATACTGCAGATAGAAGAGATCATTGCGCATGGTTTTCTTACGCATACGATGTGGCCCTTCAGTGGTGTCCAATATCCATTTGTCAAGCGAAGAATAGCCCTCGGGACCCCAGAGGCCACGTTCTCGGGTTAATTCTGTTTCCGATTGCACCCAATCCTGGTAGACATAACGCTGGGTGTGTTGCAGCATTTGTATGTACTGTTTGCAGCGTAACTCCCAAAGGTCCCTGGAAGGAGAAACAAAGAAGGGAGGTTATTGAAAGCTTCATGGTTATTCAAAATGTTGACCCTTTGAGGGGGAGGTACCAGAAGGAGTGGACCGATATATCCCATCTTCACAGCAGATCTTGTGTTAGTACAAATAATGGGATGTGTGAAATATGAAGAGCATCGGATGCTTACTTCGGATTTTAATAAGTGTTTTGGTTATTCAAAACTTTGACCCTTTGTGGGGAAGCTACCAGAAGGAATGGTCCGATCTCTACCATATTTATAACAGATCTTGTGATGATCGAAATATTGAGAAGTGCCAAAACTTAATGGAATCGGATCTTCATTTTGTCCTTTATGAGCTTCATGGATTTTCAAAATTTTGACCGTTTGTGGGGGAGGTACCAGAAGAAATATTCCGATCTCAGGTGTTGGATTAGTAGAGGTGTTGGGTTAGTAGAAATAATGGGATGTGTGAAATATGAAGGAAACCCGATGCTTATTTTGGATTTTAATAAGCGTTTTGGTTATTCAAAACTTTGACCCTTTGTGTGGGAGGTACCAGAAGGAATGGTCCGATCTCTACCATTTTTATAACAGAGCTTGTGTTGATGGAAATATTGAGAAGTGCCAAGGCTGAAAGGAATCGGATGTTAATTTCGGGGTTTTATGAGGTTCATGGATATTAAAAATTTTGACCCTTTGTGGGGGAGGTACCAGAAGGAGTGGACCAATATACTCCAGCTTCACAGTAGATCTTGTGTTGGTACAAATAATGAGATGTGTGAAATATGAAGAGAATCGAATGCTTATTTCGGATTTTAAGAAATGTTTTGTTTATTCAGAACTTTGACCCTTTGTGGGGGAGGTACCAGAAGAAATGGTCCGATCTCCACCATCTTTGTAAGAGATCTTGTCTTGATGGAAATATTGAGATGTACCAAGTCTGAATGGAATCGGATGATAATTCGGCGTTTTATGAGCTTCATGGTTATTCAAAATTTTGAGCGTTTGCGGGGGAGGTACCAGAAGGAGTGCGCCGATATAACCGATCTGTACACCAAACCTTGGGTTAATAAAAATATTACGATGTGTAAAATATGAAGAGAACCGGATGCTTATTTCGGATTTTTATAATCATTTTGTTTATTCAAAACTTTGACCCTTTGTGGGGGAGGTACCAGAAGGAATGTTCCGATCTCCACCATCTTTACAACAGATCTTGTGTTGACGGAAATATTGAGATGTGCCAAATCTGAATGGAATCGGATGTTAATTTCGCGGTTTTATGAGCTTCATGGATATTCAAAATTTTGACCCTTTGTGGGGGAGATACCAGAAGGAGGGCGCCGATATATTCCATCTTCACAGTAGATCTTGTGTTAGTAGAAATAATGGGATGGGTGAAGTATGAAGAGAATCGAATGCTTATTTCAGATTTTATAAGCGTTTTGATTATTCAAAATTTTGACCCTTTGTGGGGGAGATACCAGAAGAAATGGTCCGATATATCCTATCTTCACAGCAGATGTTGGGTTAATAGAAATAATGGGATGTGCGAAATATAAAGAGAATCGGATGCTTATTTCGGATTTTTATAATCGTTTTGTTTATTCAGAACTTTGACCCTTTGTGGGGGAGGTACCAGAAGAAATGGCCCGATCTCCACCATCTTTGTAAGAGATCTTGTGTTGATGAAAATATAAAGATGTGCCAAATCTGAATCGAATCGGATGTTAATTTCGCATTTTATGAGCTTCGTGGATATTCAAAATTTTGACCCTTTGTGGGGGAGGTACCAGAAGGAGTGGACCGATATATTCCATCTTCACACCAGACCTTGGGTTAATAAAAATATTGAGATGTGTGTGATTTGAAGACAATCGGACTCTTACATCACATTTTATGAGAGTTATAATTATTCAAAATTTAGACCCTTTGTGGGGGAGGTACTTGATGCAGTGGACCGATATTGCCCATTTACGCCCCCGACGGACGGACATCGCTAGATCGACTCCAAATGTCCTGAAACGGATTTGCTCCAAAGAGACCTAGGCTCTAAAATCGTTATTTCGATGAGGCACGTTTTGGCCGCTTCAAATAATATATAGCCTCTCTAGCCATACGGCGGAGGGTATAAAAAATATATTTTTTTTCCAAAAAATCCCTGAAAAGTATTATCCAAATACTCACTTTATCAATTGCACATGTATGTTGGTACACTCGAAAGCCGACTCGCGGGTCATGGACGACTTGGCGCGTACCATTTCATCTTTCTTGACCTTGGTGCGACTAGCCAGACGTGTCAAGCCACCAGTTACTTTCTGAATCTTTGATTGTATCTGATTATGGATTTCCCAGGGGATACGATACGAAGCCTTACGTTCAGCATCGACATAATTAAACCATAATTTCGAGGCCAATTCCATGACCTGTTCACGTGTGGTTTGCAAATCCGGGGCCTTTTGATTGTTCGGTGGCGGCGACAAGCTGACTTTGAAGACCTCTTCTATGGCTGGCTTTTTACACACATACAACTCTTCCCAGACACGGAAGGCGGCACCCACAATTAAATTGCGACCCTTAAGGAGAGAAAAACGAGGTTTAATCTTTTGGAATTCATTTGAGAAAATCCATCCTACCTGCAATTGATTCAAATCCTCATCTTTGGGCTCAATAATATCAGCCTGAGGATTAACATGCCATGTGGTGTTGCGAGCCGTCGAAGGCTCTAATATGATTTTCATATCCGATGTCAATTGCAGCAGACAATAGGTGAGACAACCAATGAATTCCAGCTCATGATTGCCAGCTCCAAAAATCAACAAACGATGGGTGATGATTTTATGTAAAGCCTCCAAGACGCTCATCTGCTCGGTTATGGCCTCCGTGGGCCGTGATAATAAATACAAAATGGTACGATTCAGGGAATGATGTAACTGCTCCAGCGTCAACGATGAGGTTCTCCTCTTAGCTTGGGCAATTAATTTGATAATAAAATCAAAGATATCATGAGGATTGCGGGTCAGACAGCCCTGCCACATTTTATCCACCACTCGAGCGGTGAAATAGAAAACATTTGGCGCCACATGTTGGGTATGACTTTGGAGTAGGGGTACCAAGGACAGGGCGGCCTGTTCTCCCACCAAAATGTCTGCCGCCAGCAGATGATCCATTAAAGCTGTAATGATTTCCGTTTGGTATTCAACCTGTAAATTCATTTCCGAATTCTCCGGCGAGGCATCCAATACCAAATCTATGACGGGTGTTGTCTTGCCATGCATATTTAAGCTCAACGAGTCCACCACAATGACCCTCAGGAAGTCGATGATACATTTCCTTACCGGATGATTGGTAAGCTTGACTAGATTGGCTGGATTATGCGCTGCAGCATTGAGACTTAACATAAAACCACCCGTCTCCTCGGTGGGTGAACTGTTGCCACTGTTCGGCTCAGATTCCACATTTTCATCTTTACTGCTATTGGGAAACAAAACGGCCACCAAGGAGGATATGACATCTCCAGACATCATGACTGGCATAAAATCGGTTAGATTTTGATAGAGACTGAAGAGTAGCTGTATGATTGTCTCAGGGTGGCTATTGAGCCAGGGAGCCATTTCACCACCATGGACAATTGCCCTAACCATGCCCAAGAGTACACACACTCCTTCGGGACAGATGTTCATTTTGGGTACATTTGTATTGGCCGATACAGGGGCACCCCAGAGGAATGACCAGACTCGGTCCAGATCGAATTTGGTGTGTTCTGTGGCCAAAAGTTTTACAGGTTGGCCCATTATCAGAGCGGTAATGAGGAAATACAGTTCGGGAACGTCCAAATGGTACTGCATCAGCCATTCCAGGGTTTGGAAACCTAAAAAAGAAAACACGTTATTAGAATCCCTTAAGGGAAGGAGGAAATTTAAAACAAGGCAAAGCTCCATAGGAGGAGCTACATACAGCCTGGCTGAATAGGATGTCCTTTAGGAAAACTCCCATTCAGCATGGCTGAATAGGTTTTCCATTCTGAAAACTCCCATTCAGCCTGGCTGAATAGGTTTTCCATTGGGAAAACTCCCATTCAGGCTGGCTGAATAGGTTTTCCATTGGGAAAACTCCCATTCAGCCTGGCTGAATAGGATTTTTTAAAGAATATTTTTTCAAGGACCCAAAGACCAAGAAACGTGGATTTTTTAAAGAATATTTTATCAAGGACCAAAAGACCAAGGACCATCAGTTGAAGTTACGTGGATTTTTTAAAGAATATTTTATCAAGGACCAAAAGACCAAGGACCATCAGTTGAAGTTACGTGGATTTTTTAAAGAAATTTTTTAAGGACCATCAGTTGAAGATACGTTGATTTTTTAAAGAATATTTTTTCAAGGACCATCAGTTGAAGATACGTGGATTTTTTAAAGAAAATTTTTTCAAGGACCATCAGTTGAAGATTCGTGGATTTTTTAAAGAAAATTTTTTCAAGGACCATCAGTTGAAGTTACGTGGATTTTTTAAAGAATATTTTTTTCAAGGACCATCAGTTGAGGATACGTGGATTTTTTAAAAAATATTTTTTCAAGGACCATCAGTTGAAGATACGTGGATTTTTTAAAGAATATTTTTTCAAGGACCATCAGTTGAAGATACTTGGATTTTTTAATGAATATTTTTTCAAGGACCATCAGTTGAAGATACGTGGATTTTTTAAAGAATATTTTTTCAAGGACCATCAGTTGAAGATACGTGGATTTTTTAAAGAATATTTTTTCAAGGACCATCAGTTGAAGATGCGTGGATTTTTTAAAGAAATTTTTTTCAAGGACCATCAGTTGAAGATACTTGGATTTTTTAATGAATATTTTTTCAACGACCAAAAGACCAAGAAACGTGGATTTTTTAAAGAATATTTTTTCAACGACCAAAAGACCAAGAAACGTGGATTTTTTAAAGAATATTTTTTCAACGACCAAAAGACCAAGAAACGTGGATTTTTTAAAGAATATTTTTTCAACGACCAAAAGACCAAGAAACGTGGATTTTTTAAAGAATATTTTTTCAACGACCAAAAGACCAAGAAACGTGGATTTTTTAAAGAATATTTTTTCAACGACCAAAAGACCAAGAAACGTGGATTTTTTAAAGAATATTTTTTCAACGACCAAAAGACCAAGAAACGTGGATTTTTTAAAGAATATTTTTTCAACGACCAAAAGACCAAGAAACGTGGATTTTTTAAAGAATATTTTTTCAACGACCAAAAGACCAAGAAACGTGGATTTTTTAAAGAATATTTTTTCAACGACCAAAAGACCAAGAAACGTGGATTTTTTAAAGAATATTTTTTCAACGACCAAAAGACCAAGAAACGTGGATTTTTTAAAGAATATTTTTTCAACGACCAAAAGACCAAGAAACGTGGATTTTTTAAAGAATATTTTTTCAACGACCAAAAGACCAAGAAACGTGGATTTTTTAAAGAATATTTTTTCAACGACCAAAATACCAAGAAACGTGGATTTTTTAAAGAATATTTTTTCAACGACCAAAATACCAAGAAACGTGGATTTTTTAAAGAATATTTTTTCAACGACCAAAAGACCAAGGACCATCAGTTGAAGTTACGTGGATTTTTTAAAGAAATTTTTTTAAGGACCATCAGTTGAAGATACGTTGATTTTTTAAAGAATATTTTTTCAAGGACCATCAGTTGAAGATACGTGGATTTTTTAAAGAAATTTTTTTCAAGGACCATCAGTTGATGATACGTGGATTTTTTAAAGAAAATTTTTTCAAGGACCATCAGTTGAAGATGCGTGGATTTTTTAAAGAAAATTTTTTCAAGGACCATCAGTTGAAGATACGTGGATTTTTTAAAGAATATTTTTTTCAAGGACCATCAGTTGAAGATACGTTGATTTTTTAAAGAATATTTTTTCAAGGACCATCAGTTGAAGATACGTGGATTTTTTAAAGAATATTTTTTCAAGGACCATCAGTTGAAGATACTTGGATTTTTTAATGAATATTTTTTTCAAGGACCATCAGTTGAAGATACTTGGATTTTTTAAAGAATATTTTTTCAAGGACCATCAGTTGAAGATACGTGGATTTTTTAAAGAAATTTTTTTCAAGGACCATCAGTTGATGATACGTGGATTTTTTAAAGAAAATTTTTTCAAGGACCATCAGTTGAAGATGCGTGGATTTTTTAAAGAAAATTTTTTCAAGGACCATCAGTTGAAGATACGTGGATTTTTTAAAGAATATTTTTTTCAAGGACCATCAGTTGAAGATACGTTGATTTTTTAAAGAATATTTTTTCAAGGACCATCAGTTGAAGATACTTGGATTTTTTAAAGAATATTTTTTCAAGGACCATCAGTTGAAGACACTTGGATTTTTTAATGAATATTTTTTTCAAGGACCATCAGTTGAAGATGCGTGGATTTTTTAAAGAAATTTTTTTCAAGGACCATCAGTTGAAGATACTTGGATTTTTTAAAGAATATTTTTTCAAGGACCATCAGTTGAAGATACTTGGATTTTTTAATGAATATTTTTTTCAAGGACCATCAGTTGAAGATACGTGGATTTTTTAAAGAATATTTTTTCAAGGACCATCAGTTGAAGATACTTGGATTTTTTAATGAATATTTTTTTCAAGGACCATCAGTTGAAGATACTTGGATTTTTTAAAGAATATTTTTTCAAGGACCATCAGTTGAAGATACTTGGATTTTTTAATGAATATTTTTTTCAAGGACCATCAGTTGAAGATACGTGGATTTTTTAAAGAATATTTTTTCAAGGACCATCAGTTGAAGATACGTGGATTTTTTAAAGAATATTTTTTTCAAGGACCATCAGTTGAAGATACGTGGATTGTTTAAAGAATATTTTTTCAAGGACCATCAGTTGAAGATAAGTGGATTTTTTAAAGAAATTTTTTTCAAGGACCATCAGTTGAAGATGCGTGGATTTTTTAAAGAAATTTTTTTCAAGGACCATCAGTTGAAGATACTTGGATTTTTTAAAGAATATTTTTTCAAGGACCATCAGTTGAAGATACGTTGATTTTTTAAAGAAAATTTTTTCAAGGACCATGGCTGAATAGGTTTTCCATTAGGAAATCTCCCATTCAGTCCGGGCTGAATAGGTTTTCCATTAGGAAAACTCCCATTCAGCCCGGGCTGAAAGGAGATTTTTTTAGAAATTTGAAATCCCCACCTGGTATATTCAGTGCCGCCGTCCTCACTTCCCCGGCAATGTGTGTGGGTAAATGCTGCAAGGTATTGGCCGGTGTGGCCACTATGACAGTCCCCGTTCCCGTTGAAGGCCGAGCATTCAGCTGTTGAGCCGCAATTCCCATTGACTTCTTTTGCGACACCATTTCGGTAAAACGCAAATAACCTCCATTGTGTGTCGAATCCCGGAAACGTACCAAAAAACTCTCATTGGCACAGATGACCACCAGTATCCTTACCGCAATTATGACCGTGGTAAAATGGACATTAGGTTGCATAAACAACAGCAACCAATCCATACCCAGGGTCTTGGAGATATCATCACAAATTATGTAATTGACGGTGTTGCGAGCCGTAAACAGCAGCCCATGGAGTAGGGACAGACAACGATTGCGAAGATAGATATTTTGAGCGGTTACATCATTTTCGGCAGTAGCAGCGGAATTGGAAGGATTCGGGGTGGGTTTCATGGTGGGCAATATTAGCGATTTCTCCACCTGATCCGCTTTGGGTAGCTTGGAAGCACAATACTGCCCGAAAAGCAGTAGATCCGTATGCCTTGGCTGGCCACCCAGCAGAGCTTCGACTAAATTAAATAATATCTCTCGCGTGGAATGATCCTGTATGTCCACTATGATGTAGAGCAGCTTGTTGAGTAGCTGCAGCTCTCTCATAATCTTCACATTTTGTTTCTTCTCATTCGACTCCACAGCCAGCTCCAACAGATGTTCCAGCAAAGATCTCAGCAAGCCATTTGGTGCATTATGCCATATATCCAAATCGCAGAGGAGATCCTGAAAGGCTGTAACATTGGGTATGGCCGACATATCCTGGCCACTGTTGACAGTGCCCACCAAGCCAAATGTCAAGTGCAAAATGTGGGAATTCAAGAGATTTTTCTTTTTCTTAAAGAACATGCCCAGGGTTTGGTAGCATCGTTTGCGATCCATTTCACTTTGGGCGGCACGATTGGAGCGTACCACACAGGTCAAGGCTTTGACGCCAGCATACAAAGACTCAACATCCTGGGCCATGGCAATAATGCCCAGCAGCACATTGCAACCTCCGACGGTATCAATCATGGCTGAGACGGGATGGGGGCTGAAGACACGGACGCCCAAATAACCCACAACCACACCACCCAAGGTACGGCCAGCTCCAGCCAAATGACCAGCAGAATTGTGGAGGATCCTGAAAACATAAAAAAGGATGTATATTAAAAAACGTTAAGTTCGGTGCTTGATCCTGCATACTTTATGGGTGTGGCATTCTCATGGGAATTCATGCCCAGTTGCTTGGCTATGGACTTATTGTCGGCTCGACTGTAAACCTTACGAATCTTGACCAAAGTCAGTTGTGACACAGCTTTGGCATTGAGACCCAACAGGACTTTCTCCTCGGCCACAAGGGGACCCAAAGGTTCAACCTTTTTGCCCAACTGGGGAGCTTGCAGCGAGCCCATATAATGGGGACCTAAATTGAAAATTGTCTGAACCGTCTGTTGATTGACCACATCTTCGAGGAGATGACAAACACCCTGCTTCCAACACAAACGTGAGTAGCGACGCCATATGGGTGGGGTGCCAATGTAACCGAACACCGAGGTGGCCACAGGCAAGTTGGCCGAACCAGCTCCTGGGTTCTGCGATATATAATGGAGTTTTTGAGAGTGCAGAGGCTGAAAGAGAAAATTCCAAAATATTAAAAATTCTCTTAGAGAGGGTCTGTCTTCTCTTACCGTTCCATCCAAATACAGAGAGAGGCTTGAGTTTTTCAACACCGCACGATTAAGTACAACCACGAGGTGGTGCCATTGGCCTTCATGTAAGAGATCTGGACACCATATGCGGGCGCTGTTGTCATCCGAGCCCTCTGGCTCCCAATCACCAAGGCCTGGAATGGAATAAGAGAAATAATGTTTAGGAATCGTTTAATCTAAGGTCCCATAAGGGAGTTTTCCTAATGGCAAACCTATTCAGCCCGGGCTGAAGAGGGAGTTTTCCTGACGGCAAACCTATTCAGCCCGGGCTGAAGAGGGAGTTTTCCTAACGGCAAACCTATTCAGCCCGGGCTGAAGAGGGAGTTTTCCTAACGGCAAACCTATTCAGCCCGGGCTGAAGAGGGAGTTTTCCTAACGGCAAACCTATTCAGCCCGGGCTGAAGAGGGAGTTTTCCTAACGGCAAACCTATTCAGCCCGGGCTGAAGAGGGAGTTTTCCTAACGGCAAACCTATTCAGCCCGGGCTGAATGGGAGTTTTCCTAACGGCAAACCTATTCAGCCCGGGCTGAATGGGAGTTTTCCTAACGGCAAACCTATTCAGCCAGGCTGAATGGAAGTTTTCCGAAAGGCAAACCTATTCAGCCCGGGCTGAATGGAAGTTTTCCGAACGGCAAACCTATTCAGCCCGGGCTGAATGGGAGTTTTCCTAACGGCAAACCTATTCAGCCAGGCTAAAGAGGGATTTTTCCAAACGGCAAACCTATTCAGCCCGGGCTTAATAGATTTTATCCCATCGGAAAACCTATTGAGTCCAGGCTGAATAGATGTTCTCCTATCGGAAACCCTATTTAGCCCGGGTTTTCCTATTGTAACCCCCTTTATTCCGACCTGAATCGGCATTTTCCGAATCTATTTTTAATAACTTACTTTTACTTGGAGTCACCAGGGTCTCCTGTGTAGAGACCACAATGGCCTTATCTCTCGCCGACAGCAATATGGAAAGACACACCAAATTCTCTTCTCGCGGATTATGGATGGTACGCACCAATGTCAGCAGCCTTACGCAATGGGGATCCGTTTTAGGATCCGAGAATTTCTCAACACAAAACCATGTGGAAAAGGAGAGACCTGTTTGTGGTGGAAAGATGCGATCTCCGGAACCAATGCCGCCAATGGTATTGGCATCTATGGTCCCACCTGCCGTGGCAGTGGCCTGTGGTGCCAATGAGGGTAGATACAAACAACCAAATCCTTCCGCTGACATATCCATTTCAACAAATGGCGGCAATGTACTGGACCCATGGGCTCGAAAATCTCTCGGGGTGGTCATGGAGACCAGTGTCTTTATGCGAGTCAATGGGACAGGTCCACCCATGGAATAGCATTTATTAAGATCGATATTTTTACACGACAAGGGCTCGCCTAGGCGTAAAAATTCTCTCAGCTCGGTAGGCTGTAGGGCCTGAGCTGCCAATCTCTCCAAAATGTATTGCATGGGGACATGTAGGGGATTGACTTCTTCGGATAGGGCTTTGCGGGCGATTTTCAACAGCTGGCCAGCCAAGCCATAATCGCACATTATCTGTTGGTTGCGTTCACTGCGTACCAGAGATTTGATGATTTCACTGAGATACACCTGCAAGTTGGTGGCCAGAGTGTGTTGCTGGCTGTGGGAGACGCTGGGTAGCAGCTGAATCATACACAACACCACACCGGGATGGACAATGCGAGGTTCCGGTGTTGGCTGTGAGAGATTCAGTTGATTGGGATGGGCTGGAGGTAAAGCTAATTCTTTGGTTGGTGAACGATTCAGTTGATCATTGAAGAGTGTGATGATGTTATTCAAATTCGGAGATTCAAAATTATCCAAGGCAATACTGTACAGCAGGCGATAGACCACACAAACATAGGAGAGGGAACGGGGTATGGAGTCATTGAATCTGAAAGGAAAAAGCGAAAGGATAAGTAAAAGTCCTTGGAAATTGGAAAAGAAAAAGGTCTCACCGATAATTCAAAATGTCTCCCGAAAAGACCTCGTGATAATACTTTTGAGTGGTGGTGTCCGATTTAAATATTCCCTTGAATTCGGGCAGCTCTGTTTCATTGCCAAAACATCCCAACAGCCGTAGAGTATCACAGAGTGAGGCGGTACAAATTTCCTGATGGAAAAACTTTGCATTGGCCGGCTCGAAACGCATTGCTGTGGCCAAGGTTTGGCAAACCATTTGTAGCAGTAGAACCAAGTCATCTTGGGGTATTAGTTGGGCCTCTGGATCTTCCGACTCCAGGTGGTCCTCATCACATAACTTCCCATCCAACGATACAAAGACACTGGTCAAATAGACAAAACCGCCCACCTTGCGGAATACAGTCCTTGTGCGATGTGAATCCTTTAGGCAACCCAGGAGCATATTGAGGATTTGTATTTTAAATTCCACCTGATAGGGTGGTACTGCATGCATGACGGACAATATGAAAAGCATATCATCATCTCCCCCAGCCGAGAGTATCAGCTCCCGAATTATGCCCAAAGATTGGGGTCGGCAATGTTTGAATTTCACCAAATCATGGATGCATTTGGCTCCACCACTCTCGCGGAATACATTGGCATTGTTGTTGTTTCCACTTAGCAGTATGGTCAGGGCTTCCAGCACATGTTTGCCCATGCTGTCGGCAAGGTCTTCCGACTCCCCCTCCTCCGCCGCCACAACAGCATTTTCATCATCTTTGGTTATTGTACGAACATGATCGGCATAACGATTGAGGCAGGTTACAAACACCTCCAAAATGCCCACCTCCCGATAGACATCCTTAAAGACATTATTATGCCGCAGAATATTCAGCAACGTTTTGAGGCATAAAATACTACAGCTGGTCGAGTGATTGTTTTTCAACAGCAACGACAGGGAAATCAATTCCTTGCAGGGCACAAAATTCAATTGGAAAACAATGAACTCCAATAGGTCGAAAAATTTCTCCTGTATCTGGGAGCCTTTCAGGTGTATCCTCTCCGTAAATTGACTGAGGGTATTTTCCGATTCCAATATAAAATAATTGGCATTTTCCGAATGATAAACCCTGGAGATGGCATCCAAAATTGTGCAGCAAAGCCCCGAGGATGTGGCCCTCAGGAATACGGTTTGCAAAACCTGAAAGGCATAGATGTTGCGAACACAGGTCTCCCGTGACGTGGCCTGAGGCATTTGGAAATTTTGCATTTTGAAAAGGGCATTGATTTGGGCCTGTGGTGGCCTCAGCTCATTGTAGCCACACATGCAGAGCGATGAGATCATGAGGACGAGGTTGCGTATGGCAGCCTGTACCTCAACAGAATGGGTGCGAGTGGTGTCGAATCTGAAAGGAAGAGAAGAGAGAGAGGAAGAGATTTAATATTTGAGTCGAAGTACCGGAGGATACCACATTCAGCCAGGCCTAAGGGAAGATTTTCCAATGAAGTCTTTATTCAGCCGGGCTGAATAGGAGATTTCCCCTTTGGAAACTCTATTCGGTCTGGACTGAATGGGAGTTTTCCTAATGGAAACTCTATTCAGCCTGGACTGAAAGGGAGTTCTCCCAAAGGAAACTCTATTTAGCCTGGGCTGAATGGGAGTTTACCCAATGGCCTGGGCTGAATGGGAGATTTCCAAATGGAAACCCTATTCAGCCAAGGCTGAAGAGAAGTTTCCCTGCCGGAAACCCTATTCAGCCAAGGCTGAAGGGAAGTTTCCCTGATGGAAACCCTATTCATCCAAGGCTGAAGAGAAGTTTCCCTGCCGAAACCCTATTCCGCCAAGGCTGAAGGGGAGTTTCCCCCGACGGAAACTGTATCCAGCCAGGCTGAAGGGGAGTTTCCCCCGACGGAAACTCTATTCAGCCAGGCTGAAGGGGAGTTTCCCCCGACGGAAACTCTATTCAGCCAGGCTGAAGGGGAGTTTCCCCCGACGGAAACTCTATTCAGCCAGGCTGAAGGGGAGTTTCCCCCGACGGAAACTCTATTCAGCCAGGCTGAAGGGGAGTTTCCCCCGACGGAAACTCTATTCAGCCAGGCTGAAGGGGAGTTTCCCCCGACGGAAACTCTATTCAGCCAGGCTGTAGGGGAGTTTTTCCAAAGGAAACTCTATTCAGCCTGGGCTGAATTGGAGATTTCCCAATGGAAACTCTATTTAGCCAAGGCTGAAGAGAAGTCTCCCTGACGGAAACCCTATTCAGCCAAGGCTGAAGAGAAGTTTCCCTGACGGAAACCCTATTCAGCCAAGGCTAAAGCGAAGTTTCCCTGACGGAAACCCTATTCAGCCAAGGCTGAAGAGAAGTTTCCCTGACGGAAACCCTATTCAGCCAAGGCTGAAGAGAAGTTTCCCTGACGGAAACCCTATTCAGCCAAGGCTGAAGAGAAGTTCCCCTGACGGAAAACCCTATTCAGCCTGGGCTGAATGGAAGATTTCTCCCAGGGAAACCCTATTCAGCCAAGGCTGAAGATAAGTTTCCCTGACTGAAATCCTATTCAACCTGGACTGAAAAAAGGTTTCCCTGACGGAAACCCTGTTCAGCCTGGGCTAAATCTGTTGATTACTTACTTGAGCAAAAAATCGGTCAGGAAGGTATATCCCTGTGAGGCCTTAAAATCATCCATGAGTATCTGGGATACTTGACTAGAATCTTTGAGGAAACAAAAGACGGTAACGAACATTTCAACTATCTCCAAGGGATTGCCGAATGTCAGGCGTCTCATATTGTCCACACACAAGGCCATGCAGCCTTTGGCTATAAGAAAAATACAAAAACAACAACAAATTATTAATCTTCCTCAAGCGTACTTCCTTAACGGTGGAGGACTTACAATGTATGTAGCTCACAACGGCATCGGTCAGACCATGCCGTGAGATGGTGGTTAGGATTTCGGCAGCATTTTTACGCCACACAATATTGTGAGTGGGACAGGGTGAGGTAATGGCGGAAAACAGTAATGTCAAATCATCCATACGAGCCAGCTCCTCTGCTGGGTAGGGATATGAGCATAGTTTCACCAGCAGCTGCACAAAGACCTTTTGCAGTAGAGTGCGTCGTTCGAAGGCATTGAAGTCGCTGGGCGTCTCGCAGGGAGGGTCATCTTCCACAGCGGGCAAATCGAAAAAGAGATATAAACACTTCACCAATGTAGAGGGCACTGCGGCAGCTGTCATGACCTGGAAAAGAGAAATGGTAAAAATAGAAATTATTTGAAAATTAAAAAATATTTTAAAATATTCCGCAAAATGCAGCAAGTCTGGTTCCTCTTCAAATTCATGGAATTCGCTTTGTCCTGTCTTTGTTTGGCCATACATTTCATGGGCTTGGATGATGTGGAACCCATACCCCATGCCGTGATTTATTGTGGCACCTATTTCGGTTTCACTCTCCTCACGGCATTTGGTAGTGTCGGCATTCTGCTTGGACGCCCGGCCAAGCCCCTAATGGAGGCCATTATCAGTGGCACAGGTGCGTTAATGTTTATTCTGGCCTCCCTCCTGACCATGTATCATGCCGAAAGAGATTTCCATTTGATGTATTTGTCGGATTTTGAGGAGCCCCTCCATGGCTTTTTTGGGCATTGCAAACACCAGAGCATTGCCTCCCTGGCCACGGGTTTACTGTTGCTTTTGCATTGTGTTTTGGCAGTGGATATTTGTTGGATACGTCAGCCGACCATGTCGATATTTGAGGATGAGAATGAAGCCGCTTTACAGCCTTTGAGGTTATATTTTGTCAGTGAAAGTGTGGAGGGGTATTTGCAGCAATTTCAATGGTTCCGGGGGTATTTGTTGCATGATGGCAAGGGAGGAGAACAGAAGGAAGTTCAAAGGACTTCAAAGACCCACAGAGGCCAGAAACATCATAAGCGAGAAAGGGTAATTCCGGTGAATCCCAATGAAAATATCGAAGGAACCTCATCGCTTTCGACCACATCTTTGAATACCTCACAACTCTATGATAAATCCGAAATTGTGTGACCCAAATAATCTTCTATATTTTGAATAAATCTTTCAGATTAAATTTAGAAAATCTGGTTGAAATCTTGGAAATCTTCATTTCAGCCTGGCTGAAGGGTGAGGATTTCTATAGGAAATCTCCATTTCAGCCTGGCTGAAGGGGGATTTCTATAGGAAATCTCCATTTCAGCCTGGCTGAAGGGGGATTTCTATAGGAAATCTCCATTTCAGCCTGGCTGAAGGGGGATTTCTATAGGAAATCTCCATTTCAGCCTGGCTGAAGGGGGATTTCTATAGGAAATCTCCATTTCAGCCTGGCTGAAGGGGGATTTCTATAGGAAATCTGCAATTCAGCCTGGCTGAAGGGGGATTTCTATAGGAAATCTGCAATTCAGCCTGGCTGAAGGGGGATTTCTATAGGAAATCTGCAAATCAGCCTGGCTGAAGGGGGATTTCTATAGGAAATCTGCAATTCAGCCTGGCTGAAGTGGGATTTCTATAGGAAATCTGCAATTCAGCCTGGCTGAAGGGGGATTTCTATAGGAAATCTGCAATTCAGCCTGGCTGAAGGGGGATTTCTATAGGAAATCTGCAATTCAGCCTGGCTGAAGGGGGATTTCTATAGGAAATCTGCAATTCAGCCTGGCTGAAGGGGGATTTCTATAGGAAATCTGCAATTCAGCCTGGCTGAAGGGGGATTTCTATAGGAAATCTGCAATTCAGCCTGGCTGAAGGGGGATTTCTATAGGAAATCTGCAATTCAGCCTGGCTGAAGGGGGATTTCTATAGGAAATCTGCAATTCAGCCTGGCTGAAGGGGGATTTCTATAGGAAATCTGCAATTCAGCCTGGCTGAAGGGGGATTTCTATAGGAAATCTGCAATTCAGCCTGGCTGAAGGGGGATTTCTATAGGAAATCTGCAATTCAGCCTGGCTGAAGGGGGATTTCTATAGGAAATCTTCATTTCAGCCTGGCTGAAGGGAGATTTCTATAGGAAATCTTCATTTCAGCCTGGCTGAAGGGAGATTTCTATAGGAAATCTTCATTTCAGCCTGGCTGAAGGGAGATTTCTATAGGAAATCTTCATTTCAGCCTGGCTGAAGGGAGATTTCTATAGGAAATCTTCATTTCAGCCTGGCTGAAGGGAGATTTCTATAGGAAATCTTCATTTCAGCCTGGCTGAAGGGAGATTTCTATAGGAAATCTTCATTTCAGCCTGGCTGAAGGGAGATTTCTATAGGAAATCTTCATTTCAGCCTGGCTGAAGGGAGATTTCTATAGGAAATCTTCATTTCAGCCTGGCTGAAGGGAGATTTCTATAGGAAATCTTCATTTCAGCCTGGCTGAAGGGAGATTTCTATAGGAAATCTTCATTTCAGCCTGGCTGAAGGGAGATTTCTATAGGAAATCTTCATTTCAGCCTGGCTGAAGGGAGATTTCTATAGGAAATCTTCATTTCAGCCTGGCTGAAGGGAGATTTCTATAGGAAATCTTCATTTCAGCCTGGCTGAAGGGAGATTTCTATAGGAAATCTTCATTTCAGCCTGGCTGAAGGGAGATTTCTATAGGAAATCTGCAATTCAGCCTGGCTGAAGGGAGATTTCTATAGGAAATCTGCAATTTCAGCCTGGCTGAAGGGAGATTTCTATAGGAAATCTTCATTTCAGCCTGGCTGAAGGGAGATTTCTATAGGAAATCTTCATTTCAGCCTGGCTGAAGGGAGATTTCTATAGGAAATCTTCATTTCAGCCTGGCTGAAGGGAGATTTCTATAGGAAATCTTCATTTCAGCCTGGCTGAAGGGAGATTTCTATAGGAAATCTTCATTTCAGCCTGGCTGAAGGGAGATTTCTATAGGAAATCTTCATTTCAGCCTGGCTGAAGGGAGATTTCTATAGGAAATCTTCATTTCAGCCTGGCTGAAGGGAGATTTCTATAGGAAATCTTCATTTCAGCCTGGCTGAAGGGAGATTTCTATAGGAAATCTTCATTTCAGCCTGGCTGAAGGGAGATTTCTATAGGAAATCTTCATTTCAGCCTGGCTGAAGGGAGATTTCTATAGGAAATCTTCATTTCAGCCTGGCTGAAGGGAGATTTCTATAGGAAATCTTCATTTCAGCCTGGCTGAAGGGAGATTTCTATAGGAAATCTTCATTTCAGCCTGGCTGAAGGGAGATTTCTATAGGAAATCTTCATTTCAGCCTGGCTGAAGGGAGATTTCTATAGGAAATCTTCATTTCAGCCTGGCTGAAGGGAGATTTCTATAGGAAATCTTCATTTCAGCCTGGCTGAAGGGAGATTTCTATAGGAAATCTTCATTTCAGCCTGGCTGAAGGGAGATTTCTATAGGAAATCTTCATTTCAGCCTGGCTGAAGGGAGATTTCTATAGGAAATCTTCATTTCAGCCTGGCTGAAGGGAGATTTCTATAGGAAATCTTCATTTCAGCCTGGCTGAAGGGAGATTTCTATAGGAAATCTTCATTTCAGCCTGGCTGAAGGGAGATTTCTATAGGAAATCTTCATTTCAGCCTGGCTGAAGGGAGATTTCTATAGGAAATCTTCATTTCAGCCTGGCTGAAGGGAGATTTCTATAGGAAATCTTCATTTCAGCCTGGCTGAAGGGAGATTTCTATAGGAAATCTTCATTTCAGCCTGGCTGAAGGGAGATTTCTATAGGAAATCTTCATTTCAGCCTGGCTGAAGGGAGATTTCTATAGGAAATCTTCATTTCAGCCTGGCTGAAGGGAGATTTCTATAGGAAATCTTCATTTCAGCCTGGCTGAAGGGAGATTTCTATAGGAAATCTTCATTTCAGCCTGGCTGAAGGGAGATTTCTATAGGAAATCTTCATTTCAGCCTGGCTGAAGGGAGATTTCTATAGGAAATCTTCATTTCAGCCTGGCTGAAGGGAGATTTCTATAGGAAATCTTCATTTCAGCCTGGCTGAAGGGAGATTTCTATAGGAAATCTTCATTTCAGCCTGGCTGAAGGGAGATTTCTATAGGAAATCTTCATTTCAGCCTGGCTGAAGGGAGATTTCTATAGGAAATCTTCATTTCAGCCTGGCTGAAGGAGGATTTCTATAGGAAATCTGCAATTCAGCCTGGCTGAAGGGTGAGGATTTCTATAGGAAATCTGCAATTCAGCCTGGCTGAAGGGTGAGGATTTCTATAGGAAATCTGCAATTCAGCCTAGCTGAAGGGTGAGGATTTCTATAGGAAATCTGCAATTCAGCCTGGCTGAAGGGTGAGGATTTCTATAGGAAATCTGCAATTCAGCCTAACTGAAGGGTGAGGATTTCTAGAGGAAATCTGCAATTCAGCCTGGCTGAAGGGTGAGGATTTCCATAGGAAATCTTCATTTCAGCCTGGCTGAAGGGTGAGGATTTCCATAGGAAATCTTCATTTCAGCCTGGCTGAAGGGTGAGGATTTCCATAGGAAATCTTCATTTCAGCCTGGCTGAAGGGTGAGGATTTCCATAGGAAATCTTCATTTCAGCCTGGCTGAAGGGTGAGGATTTCCATAGGAAATCTTCATTTCAGCCTGGCAGAAGGGTGAGGATTTCCATAGGAAATCTTCATTTCAGCCTGGCTGAAGGGTGAGGATTTCCATAGGAAATCTTCATTTCAGCCTGGCTGAAGGGTGAGGATTTCCATAGGAAATCTTCATTTCAGCCTGGCTGAAGGGTGAGGATTTCCATAGGAAATCTTCATTTCAGCCTGGCTGAAGGGTGAGGATTTCCATAGGAAATCTTCATTTCAGCCTGGCTGAAGGGTGAGGATTTCCATAGGAAATCTTCATTTCAGCCTGGCTGAAGGGTGAGGATTTCCATAGGAAATCTTCATTTTAGCCTGGCTGAAGGGGGATTTCTATAGGAAATCTTCATTTCAGCCTGGCTGAAGGGGGATTTCTATAGGAAATCTTCATTTCAGCCTGGCTGAAGGGGGATTTCTATAGGAAATCTTCATTTCAGCCTGGCTGAAGGGGGATTTCTATAGGAAATCTTCATTTCAGCCTGGCTGAAGGGGGATTTCTATAGGAAATCTTCATTTCAGCCTGGCTGAAGGGGGATTTCTATAGGAAATCTTCATTTCAGCCTGGCTGAAGGGGGATATCTATAGGAAATCTTCATTTCAGCCTGGCTGAAGGGGGATTTCTATAGGAAATTATAAATTTATAATTTCCTTTTTAATTTTCCTGCCATTTCTAGTTTTCCATACCTGTATCAAGGACACATCTCCGTTCGCCAACAAATTCAAGGTTGACAGCAACATCCAACCGCTGCTGGTCTCTTCGGTTGTTTCTATTTCTAGAAACTTAACAATGGCTATTGAGGCAGCCTCTGTGCTTTGATTTGAGGCCCGTTTACGTATCTCGGCGACCATTAGACGAGAAACTTGCTGACAGAAGGCCACAACATCCCAGAACTTTTCGCTCATATCGGAGGCAGGACAAGCACTGAAAACCTGTTATGGAGAAAAAAAAAACAAAAACAATTGTGTGGTCATTCATTTCCGTTAGGATTGTAAGGGAAAAGGGGGAAGTGGGGTGCCTACCTTACAAAACAGTGGCAACATTTGATAGAGTTTCATGTCCCTTTCTTGTTCGCTCAACGGCTCCTTGGGATGGGTGTACTCATTGAATAGTTTCTTCAGAGTATGTAAGCTCATTTGGACACGGGCATCCAGCATGCCATCCTCACTAGCTGCCGTGGTTAGGGTGGAACCCCCATTTGCGGTCGAGGAACCTGTGGAGCCACTGCCGCTGCTGTTGCCGGCACTACCATTACCAGCTGGAGCACTGCCGGCGCCACGCAATTTACGCATCACATTCATCCTGAAGGATGAGAAGAGCTTTTAAAGCTCTTCTTCAATGTCACTGCCCCCTCCCTTGGCCTGGTGATTTGTTTCTTCTTCTTTGCTTTTTGGTGTTGTTAATAGTTTATGTGGTGTCTGGGGGTATCCTCCTCCGCCTCCTCCTGCACCCTCTAGTCACAAGTGATGACTTAACGATTTTCTGATGATGTTGGATTGTAAAAATATCTGGAAGGCAAGAGAAAAAAAAAATAATGAAATTTTCGAATGATTTAAGAGGGATTCTGATGAGAAAAATGTAAGGGAATGATGACGACGACAAAGGAGATGAAGAAGTCAAGCAGCTTAAAGGTCGTTGAATTTTTTTTTTATTTGATGGAATTGAGTATTTCCTATGGAAATCTTCATTCCATCAGGTTAAGGCTTTAAATTCAATTTAAAATTTTAATATAGATGGCGCTTCTACCCATTTCCGTATTCTTCTAAGAAAAAAAATGACAAAAACCCCGAAGATACCTTTTAAAGCAAGTAAATTTTCTAAAACCTAGCTACAATTGCTTAGCCTGGATATTGTTAAAAAATCCGCTGCTCCGTCTGGTTAAGGATTAAAAGTTAAATTCAAAAATAGATGGCGTTTCTACCAATTCCCGTACTCTTCTAAGAAACAATGCACAAAAATCCCAAAGATTCCTTTTTGAGGCACGCAAATTGTCTAAAAACCTAGCTACAATTGCTTCGCCTGGATATTGTTAAAAAATCCGCTGCTCCGTCTAGTTAAGACTTTAAACTTAAATTCAAATATAGATGGCGTTTCAACGAATTTCCATATTCTTCTAAAAAAATTGACAAAAATCCCGAAGATTCTTTTTAAGGCAAGCAAATAGTCTAAAAACCCAGCTTCAATTGATTCGCTGGATATTGTTAAAAAATCCGCTGCTCCGTCTGGTTAAGGCTTTAAATTTAAACTCAAATATAGATGGCGTTTCAACATATTTCCATATTCTTCTAAGAAACAATGCACAAAAGTCCCGAAGATCCCTTTTTAAGGCAAACAAATTTTCTAAAACATCCCCCAGATATTGTCAAAAATTCCGCTCCTATCAAAGGTCAATCCTAAAATTTAAGTATAGATGGTATTTTTTTACTATTTTTCCCATTCGTCTAGAAAAAATGTACAAAAGCCCCGGAGCTAGCCCTTTTTGTATTCATATGTTCCAATTTTCGTATTCTCAAAACCAAGCTCAAAACAAATGTCCGAAAATGTTAACATTATTAAATAGATCCAAGTGTTTAGTTTTTAAATTGAAATATAGATGGTGTTCTTACTTAGCCTCGTAATTTTCTAAATAAATAATTTACCAAAATCCCGCAGCTCTTTCATACCAAAATTATACCCATACCAAGATCTTAAATTACGTCCATCTGGCCTTATATGCTCGTAGATGGCTTACATCGTACAGCAGAGTTGAATATTAAATTCATCACTTTATATTAAAGTACAGATGGCGCTTTTGGATTTGAGGCCCGTTTACGTATCTCGGCGACCATTAGACGAGAAACTTGCTGACAGAAGGCCACAACATCCACCATAGTATGGAGGGTATATTAAGTTTGTGATTCCATTTGTAATACCTCGAAATATACATTTTAGATCCCACAAAGTATACATATTCTTCATCAGCATAAAATTCTATGTCGATTTAGCGATGTCCGTCTGTCTGTGAGAATCCCTCTAGATGCCGAACGAAGTGAAGTAGGTTAATAAAATTTTACTCGAATCTACATTATATCCGCAGCACTTTTGGTATTGAAAATGGACCATGTAGGTTCACGCCTTCGTATAGCCCCCATATATTAGTACCTCCCTATTTTCGGTATTTTGATGATTTTAGCGACATTATTCACCGAAATTGATTCAAATGTTGGCATTTGAAATTCGTAACGGATACTTCAGCCGAAGACAGAAAATTGTCTGTGCAGGTCCACGTTTTGGTATAGCCCCCATATAACGGTATCTCCCGATATTCGGTATTTTGATGATTTTAGCGACATTATTCACCGGAATTGTTTCAAATTCGGTATTTAAAGTTCGTAATAGATACTACAGCCTATGGCAGAAAATCGTCTGTGCAGGTCCACGTCTTCGTATAAATCTTCAGTTAAGTTTGAAGTGTAAATAAAGTTTATTTGATGTTATTAGGACGCCATCTACATATGGGTACATAGATATGTAATTGTAGCAGACACGGGGAAGTGACCGAAGTTTGAATGCTTACATATAATTTATTCTTCCTGGGTCGAGTAGAGGTTTTTCGATCTGCAACCACATTCAGCCAGAAGTTTTAGAATAGAAGTTTTTCCAGAATTAATAAACGCCATCTGTACTTAAATATTAATATCGGGATTTTATTGATATTTAAGTCTGTGATATAAGTTACGCCATCTATATATGAGAATTTACATTGTTATTTTATGGTGGCAGGCATGAGGTAAACGGTTGAATGTAGAATATATATTTTTATTTCAATTTTTTTCGTTTGTTCTCACGCCTTTCACAGCCTCACCGGCCGATCAAGGGGGTCTTTTCCTATGCGTGAGAGCTTGTACCAAGTTTACATATACCCCTATTCATCATGGCCAAAGTAGACAATCATGGATTTAAAAAAAAAATTACTGAAACTTCCAGCAACGTAAATTTTTTAAAAATATTTTTTTTCTAACTTCCATCAATGCGTATTTTTTAAAAATATTTTTTTCTGAGACATCCTACAAAATAGATTTTTAAAAAATATTTTTTCTTGAGACCCCTATTACCGTGCATTTTTAAAAAATATTTTTTTTTTCGAGACTTCTAGCAACATGAATTTTTTTACAAATAAATTTTCCTTTGACTTCTAACAACGTGGATTTTTTTAAAAATAATTTTTCCAGAGATACCTTATTTCTTTTGTTTTGTTGAGGATCCCATCCACGTGAACTTTTTTAAAATATTTTTTCTCAAGACTTCCATCAACATGATGTTTTTACAAATACATTTTCCTGTGACTTTCCTCAGAGTGAATTTTTTAAAAATATTTTCTCTTGTGACTTCCATCAAAGCGATTTTTTTTAAAATATTTTTTCTTGTGACCTCCATTAACGTGGATTTTTTAAAAAAATTTTCTTCTTGAGACTCCCATCAACTCGATTTTTCTCGAGGCTTCTATCAACGTGGATTTTTTAAAAAATATTTTTCTTGAGACTCCCATCAACATGAATTTTTTAAAAATATTTTTCTTGATACTTCTATCAACGTAGATTTTTTAAAAAATATTTTTATTGAGACTGCCATCAACGTGAATTTTTTTAAAATATTTTTTCCCGAGACTTCCATCAACGTGGATTTTTTGTTAATAATAGTTTTTCTTGCGACTTCCATCAAAGTGGATTTTTGAAAATAATTTTTCTTGTGACTTTCCTTAAAGTGGATTTTTTTAAATAATTTTTCTTGGTGTTTCCCTCAAAGCGAATTTTTTAAAAATAATTTTACTTGTGACCTCCATCAACGTGGATTTTTTAAAAATATTTTCCTGCGATTTCCAGAAACGTGGATTTTTTTAAATATTTTCCTGCAATTTCCATCAACGTGGATTTTTTTTTAAATATTCTCCTGCAATTTCCATCAACGTGGATTTTTCTTAATATTTTCCTGCAATTTCCATCAACGTGGATTTTTAAAAAAATATTTTCCTGCGATTTCCAGAAACGTGGATTTTTTAAAACATATTTTTTCCTGCAATTTTCATCAACGTGGATTTAAAAAAAATATTTTTCCTGCAATTTCCAGAAACGTGGATTTTTTAAAAATATTTTCCTGTGATTTCCAGAAAAAATTCCTGTGATTTCCAGAAACGGATTTAAAAAAAATATTTTTCCTGCAATTTCCAGCAACGTAAATTTTTTAAAAATATTTTTTCTCGAGACTTCCATCAACGTGGATTTTTTTTTGTTAAAAATAGTTTTTCTTGCGACTTCCATCAACGTGGATTTTTTGAAAATAATTTTTCTTGTGACTATCCTTAAAGTGGTTTTTTTAAAAATAATTTTTCTTGGGGTTTCCCTCAAAGCAAATTTTTTAAAAATAATTTTACTTGTGACCTCTATCAACGTGGTTGTTTTAAAAATCAACGTGGATTTTTTAGAAATAGTTTTTCTCGCGACTTCCATCAAAGGGGATTTTTATTAAAATATTTATAAATAAAATATTTTTCCTGCAATCTCCAACAACGTGGATTTTAAAAAAAAAATATTTCCTGCAATTTCCAACAAAGTGGATTTTTAAAAAAAAATATTTCCTGCAATTTCCAACAACGTGGATTTTAAAAAAAAAATATTTCCTGCAATTTCCAACAACGTGGATTTTTAAAAAAATATTTTTCTTGAGACTCTCATCAACGTGAATCTTTTAAAATTTTTTTTCTCGAGACTTCCATCAAAGTGGATTTTTTAAAAATATTTTTTCTTGAGACTTCACTCAACGTGAATTTTTTTTAAATAGTTTTTCTTGCGACTTCCTTCAAAGTGCATTTTTTTAAAATAGTTTTTCTTGTGACTTCCTTAAAAGTAGATTTTTTAAAAAATATTTTTCCTGCTATTTCCAGCAACGTGGATTTTTTTTTAAAAATATTTTTCTTGCAATTTCCAGCAACATGGATTTTTTTTAAAAATATTTTTCTTGCAATTTCCAGCAACGTGGATTTATTTTAAAAATATTGTTCTTGAGACTCTCATCAACGTGAATTTTTTGAAAATATTTTTTCTCGAGACTTCCCTCAAAGTTGATTTTTTAAAAATATTTTTCCTGCAATTTCCAGCAACGAGGGTTTTTTAAAAAAATATTTTTCCTGCAATTTCCAGCAACGTGGATTTTTTTAAAAATTATTTTTTTGAGACTCTCATCAACGTGAATTTTTTATAAATATTTTTTCTCGAGACTTCCATCAAAGCGGATTTTTTAAAAATATTTTTCCTGCAATTTCCAGCAATATGGATTTAAAAAAAAATTTTCCTGCAATTTCCAACAACGTGGATCATTAAAAAAATATTTTTCCTGCAATTTCCTACAACGTGAATTTTTAAAAAAATATTTCCAGCAACGTGGATTTAAAAAAAAAAAAAAATATTTTTCCTGCAATTTCCAGCAACGTGGATTTTTTAAAAAAATATTTTTCCTGCAATTTCCAGCAACG